ATTGGCTGATTACTATACTGCTACTATGTTAGGTAGCATTCCAGAATTTCCGGGAAACCCAAGGACATCTAAAATACTATAAAAACCCTGTGTTTTCTGTACTAAAATGAACCTTTGGAGTAAAGTACTTCTCGCATACTTTGAGACTTTTCTCTCATGTTCAGATCGCTGCGTACTTCTAGCTTGGGAGTTAAATGAATAGCTTAGGAAACGAATTTAGCATTCATTTAGCAAAACTTTTCAGTCTGACTATATTATTAGGAGTCGCACGATTCCGAACGACCGCCTACCACCCACAAGCGAACTGGATGATAGGACGCTTTCATCGACAGCTGAAGGCTTCCCTATCAGCTGCAAATGTTTCACAGTGGATCGACGCTCTTCCACTCGTCTCACTTGGTGTTCGCAATGCAGTGAAAGTTGACAGTGAATACAAAGCAGCTCAGCTCGTCTATGGAACAACACTCCAACTTCCAAGAGAATTCGTGAATCACGAATTTTCTTCAGTGAAAGTGGATCTAAACTCCTATATGAGCAGACTTATGTTTTCATTCAACCTGCCCTACGATATAGTACACACATCCTTGTACGTCGCGACTCATTTCGACGACCTCTCGAAACGGCATACGGAGGACCCTTCAAGGCTCTTTGGTGTGAACCTAAGTACTATACAATCGATAATAATGGAACTAACAGTACCTTCACCATTGATCGCCTTCAAGTCGAGTATTTAGGAGAAAACCGAAGTCATATCGATCTTCTTTCTGTACAATCTAAAGACATGAGTTTCACGATTATGATAGACTGCCCGATAATCAACAATCACGATTACACTTCTGTGGCACTAGAGAGCAGTCTCAAAACAATGCGTTTTGGAAGAAGAGTAAAGTTCCCAGAACACTTAAACGATAACTACACGTAAGACACCACATTACACTTTTTCGTCTAGATTATTTTTGTATTGTATCAAGAATAAAAACCAAAAAAATCATTCTGCGAAAATAGTTCATACGCTATTTCATGTTTAGGAAACGCATGTATATGTGCTTATTTACTTTGATGCGTTTATTGTAATTCGAAATACACTCACATATTCTTTTTTCATTTCCAGGACGGCTGGAAAAGGTGAAAAACAAGTTTAGGATTGACAGAACCTTCTATTGTAACTGTTTTTTATTACTAAATTGTACCACTTGGCCCCTTATAGTAAGGAAAGACGACCAGACGCTGCTGAAAATAGACAAAGAGTGTTGGCCAACGAAAAAGTCGTTGGGTTCAAACTTCTGGTTGGCCACGTCTTAGGTTCACCACTATCCCACTGTAGGGGAGTGATCTGTGGCGTAAAATCAATCCTCAAGACCAGTAGTTCTGTAAATCATCGACGTTTGATGCTGCCCGCATTAGTTCTAACAGACTCACTTAGCTGAAGTCTTTCGGTCATGAATCCGCACCAGACCACGAGTGAGTGCGCCGTGTGTAGCGTGGCGTCGAGTTGAGGTTAACTATGAACACCGCTACAAAGAAACACGTGCCAGATAAATCAGAAGGCGAGGGTTGGACGTAACCAAATAGATCCATAAAATCCCCGAGAAGCCAAATATCAGAAGGCAGTTAATGGACCAAGTCGAGGTGTATATTTGCTGGCGATCTCGTGGCATCGAAAGGATACCGAGATCGTGCCAGGATACAACCTTGGTTACAGAAGGTAACCGAATTCGCGCGAAGTTACAATCGAAGTGTAAGTATAAGAATGGAAGCACGAAATAGCTGTCATTAGCACAGTCAAACAAAAGCACATTAAAACAAACACTGGTACAGTTGGTTATAATAATAATTGTTTTTATTAAACCAGTCGTGTTCTCGTGATAAACGTGAGTCACTACAGGAGCCCCCCGCTAGAAAGGGTTTACACTTTCGATAAATAGCGGTTTGAATCGTGGGACTGATCGGCTGACGAGCGATTGTAGGACGGAAGAATTGGCGAACAGGAAAGCGATCGTTGATCGTCGAGTTGCCAACGAAGGTCGTTTTCGGAGAACGGTACCAGGAGCGATGTGCTGTATTTGTTGCTTGAGTTGGCATGCTACACCAGAGTGGTTTGTATCCAGAATCTGAAGATGGCGTTCGTAGGGGTCCGGACCAGAAACGCTGCAGACGTAGGACGAAACCACGTTGAGCCGATGAACCAGAAGCGACCATAACGACCAAGTTCGAGACCAAGCGTGTGCCAAGCATTCGAAACCAAATATCGACTGAGTACGTTGACAAGAGCGTGGGTGATCAGGCCAGCTTTCGCCAAAGTTGACTGAAGTCGACGGAACCAAACGGAGATGGTCGAAGGCGTGGGCTCAGGAAACAAAAAGAAAATCAAAAAAGAGAAGAGTGTAGCATGCGTGTAGTATAGGAATAATCCTACACCGTATCGTTTTTTAACTGTGCGGCTAGTCGCGGAAGCGTACGGGTAACCGTACTCGGCGACCGGAACGTGAGACGGTAGTCTCGTTCGCGTCGCGTGAGCCTGCAATCTCATCCGAAGTCAAGGGCGGCGTGGTCTGCTGATCTGGACGTGAGACTGTCGTCTCGTCCGTAGACGGTGCAGATGACGCGTGCTGTTGACTGGGACGTGAGAATGAGGTCTCAGATGTATCTAGCGTGGGACCTGAAGATGATTTGAGGATCCCGCTAGTAGGTTTGATAGGTCTAGCATTGAATCTCAGGTTATCAGATAGGGCACTGTCATCGACGTGTGCTGGTTTGAGACGATCAATGCTGACGATCTCGACGCGTCCATATCGATCAACCTTGAAGGTCTTTTCGTGACGAGCGATCACGTGAAAAGGGCCTTCGTAAGGTTGTTGCCAAGGTTTGCGTACCGAATCTACTCGTATGAAAACATGTGAACAGGTAGATAACTCTCGAGGGAGAGCGACCTGTCGATGTTGTATTCGAGTTGACACCGGAGACAGCGTTCGCATAAATGCAGACAGTCGATGGACGTAGTCTGATTTACCGAAATTAGGTCTGCTCCGTGGTGTGAAGAATTCTCCGGGCAGACGCAATGTCGTGCCGTATACAAGTTCAGGGCGGAACATTGGATATCTGCCTTTAAGCTCGTTGTGATCCCTAAAAGAACGAGCGGTAAGGTTTCGTGCCAGTTGCCGTTTTCGTGTGCTCGTATAGCACTTTTAAGTTGGCAGTGAAACCGTTTACTTAACCATTTGGTGCTGGGTGGTAGACAGATATGCTTATGCGTATGCATTCCGTACCAAGCAGCCGGGTCAGCGAGGAGAATAGTTAATAGGGGAAAATTTCTCGAATAAAGCGTGGAATTCATCGTCACGCGAATAAAAAGTAACAAGGATTCGGTACACATACATGTGAGTCTATTATATTAATACTATTCTTATCGTTATCCGTCATGTCGTGTATATTATATATTAAAAAATATGAATATACGACAGACGTGGATAGATAAATCATAGACTCACCGAATTGGCTTCTTTGGAAGATTTGACCAGAAGTTGAGGCGTGTTCCAAACTTTGGGATCACCAATTGTACCAATTGTAGCGTGGCGTCGAGTTGAGGTTAACTATGAACACCGCTACCAAGAAACACGTGCCAGATAAATCAGAAGGCGAGGGTTGGACGTAACCAAATAGATCCATAAAATCCCCGAGAAGCCAAATATCAGAAGGCAGTTAATGGACCAAGTCGAGGTGTATATTTGCTGGCGATCTCGTGGCATCGAAAGGATACCGAGATCGTGCCAGGATACAACCTTGGTTACAGAAGGTAACCGAATTCGCGCGAAGTTACAATCGAAGTGTAAGTATAAGAATGGAAGCACAAATAGCTGTCATTAGCACAGTCAAACAAAAGCACATTAAAACAAACACTGGTACAGTTGGTTATAATAATAATTGTTTTTATTAAACCAGTCGTGTTCTCGTGATAAACGTGAGTCACTACACGTGCTTCGCTTCTCCTACAACCGCTGGGCAGCTTAGATCGATCGCTTCTTGATATATCGATATTCCGTCAAATATACCTCTGAGCCTCTTTGCTTCTGAGTTCACTGTGTTGGCACGTTTCGATTATATGATGTGTTACCGGTTAAGATGTGGAAATTCGAATACTTGTGGCCTTTTTGAAAGTGTTGTTGAAACCTGAACACCTGTGTTATCTTTAAAATAATGTCTCTCAGTAGCTAATAACTCCATTCGTCCCTCGAGACACGGCATCTATGGAATGAACAACCCCCTATTTCTGCCTAGTATAGCTTGGATTTCGTACCTGAGGTGATAGAATACGTATCCGTGAATTTGTTAGGCATCGGTCTCAACTCACAATATGTGCGATATTAAGCATTTCGTGATACTTATCATTAAACGCATTGTGTAAATAATGTTTATCAGTTGATTCTTTGAACTGGGGATTTCATCGTAAGTCCTTACTTCTATGTGATTTGATAGTCTTCATCCTAGAATTTAGAATGCTCTGCAGAACAGACTCAGCAAAACGAGCTGTAAACAAAACTTCATGGGTTCAAGGGTAGTCAAGTTCTGGAATTTTTTGCCGTCTGAGCTAGTCCAAGCGAATGCCCATCAGTCCTTTTATGAGAAAACCTGATATATTCATAAGGACTAAGGATAGTATCTTGACAAGATTTACTAATTTCTTTGCCCTCTTTTATCGTTGATATACCTGGGTTCCTGCCTGGAGGTATTTGTGATCCACGGCTGCTAGACACAGAAACCTGTTAAGCGAAAGCTTCTTCTGTTATGTCCACAACCATTTGAACCATTTCGAACTGTCAGGTTTATTGACATACGTAAAATGACTTTATAAGATTGAAATGAGATCCCCGGCGAAAATCATGTTTTCTATGCAGCACTGATTGAATGAACCGAAGAATGCTTGAAAATCCAAGATATAGTACTTTATTGGCAAATGACTAAAGGATGGTTAACTTAACATGTACTATAGTAGGCGCGAGTTCGAGTTGTGAACTTGGTGACAGGTTTGAAACCGTGTATTTATGCCCTCCGCAGCTTTGAACATCTAGTTGTCTTGACCTTATCCACGTATTATTGATAATTGCTATCGATTGGTTTTCTTGGTAAACACAGGCAAACTTAATGTATATGCCGAGTCGTTGATTTATGCTTTCGCTTCTAGACTCAGCCTTAAGGAATAACTGATATCAATTAGACAATTCGGTTTTAATTTTGAAAAAAAAGTAGATATTTCACGGGAGGTAAAAGCGTTAATTTCGAGTTTACTCACTGGGGAAATTTTGTGGAAAATGCGCACTGTTTACCCCGGGCTGGGTAAATGGTGTATTTTGATGCATTGTTGCCTATATTTACACTGAGTTTCCTCACGTATTTTCCCCAATTTTGTCTTTATTTCCTCTTTTCGTTTCTTGGACATTCATCCACCCAAACTAATTTGCTAAATTAACGAGTTTTGCCAAATTAGTTTACTGAAATAACATTTTTTTGTTTGAAATTTTTGTCGGATTTGAGATGATAAATTTAGTGTGTGTTTAAGCACATGCTTGCAATAGTCCGATAGTTTGGCCGAATGCTAAGCTGATTTTACGAAAATATCTGAATTCCGGGAAATCCCTAATATTTGACGACAAGAAACTTTTTCTTTTTTACAGTAGACTTCCAGAGTGTATAAGACTTTCCACACTTGACTTAGACAATACTCTAACACTCGCAAGCGAATACACGCTTCTGAATACGAGGAATGGACAAGACGAACTGATTATTTCATAGGACTAGTGAACGTAACCACTTTTCAAAATAATTCCAGTACTTAACTTCATCATTATAAACCGCTGCTATCAGAAGATTGACGTAGTGCGACTTACATTATGTATGCTATCAAACTTGGCGTACTTACATCAAAGAGCACTCCTATGTTTTATAGGAGGTAGATGAGAAACGAGGTATAATCATTTATTAGTTCGAATTCATTAAAATAACTAGATAAATCATTAACAGTCGACATTATTTTGGTTATTGGTATGACAAACAAGATTAAGATATTAGCAACCTACATTATCCACATCTTCAAACTGCTCGTCTGTCAATTACTTTTTAAGGACGTTTGCTTGTGTTAAATATCTTGTAATTTGGCATATTATTTTACTACATGAGAAGACTATTTCGGGGGTGGAAGTAATGTAAGTAGACAGCCTCAAACTATTTTCCAGTCAGCGAAGAGGCAGTCCCTTTAAAACGTTTTGTAATGGAAAGTAGTAAAATTACAGTCAATTACCATGAATAATGAACCTTTGTAAATGAATTACTTTAGGGACTAACGTCATCTGTAATGCAAGAATTATTTGTAGCTATTCAAATGAATGCATTTCTTTCCAGAATCTGATTGATTCATCCATATGCTTTGTTTCTGCCTACCTTATTGGTCTTGTTTTCGCAATCGAAGTTCGAAATTCGGTTAAGTGGACAAATCAGTCGACCATTTCCTATTATTGTAGACAACCTACCGATTAACATTCTATCCATCAATTTGACAACCCAAGATTTTCCAATCAAATCTTTAAATTACCCGTTAGTACTTTTGGTAAAAACTATACCTTACCGATAAACTTGGGTGGCTCTTTTAGTGGCCCGTTGATCTGACTCCATTTAGATCGTACGAATGTTTGCTATCACCTATTCTCGTATATAATTGTCGACTTAATCGCGTTAGCCAATAACGGAATTAAGTAAGTCGAATAACGAGAATTGATTTGTGAATACATATATTTTGTATATGAATTGAATGAAACAGGGCCAAGCAAAATAACGCGCAGGGAGGATGGCTGGGAAGCCAACTCCATTTAAGTCAAGCATTACTCAATATTTATAGTCAGACAAAATAAAGCTACAGACATGTGATTGATAGAATAAGAAGGTCACACACATATACGCTCATATAAAAACAGTCAAGACTGATAAGCGAATAATTGACAAGGTTAGAATATGACTCAAGTAGAATGAATAGAATGGGATGTCCGAAAGCTAGAATAAGGTGTATGGGCTTAGCATAATAACTGACACTACACTCTAAATACAATCTTGCGTTATCAGTCACTCGGAATCCCGACACATAACTGAAAAATTAATTACGGAAGCCAAAAGTGCGTTGCATACTGGTGTACCGATGGTCCCTGTTCTATGGGACGGATATTTTCACGGACCGATGACTTGCCTGGTCTCACGAACTTCACTTTCCGTAATACTATCCCTGGGTTCGCGCAGTTATACCACACAATCCAAAGAATATATGCATTTTACAGATTCTCATTCATCACGTTTCGTATTGTAAATTTGACTTGGAAATACTTTACTTTTATTTTCAATAACCTTTCCTTGCTTATTATGGTAATACAATTCTGTGCTTATGAGTTCTTAACTTACACTTAATAAAAGTAAATAATGTTTTCTTGTCATTATGTTTATAGGTGAAACTTTTAATTGAGTGGAAGGTGGATGTAAACGGCAAATTTTCTTTTATTATCCTTATTTAACATCTTATAGACATAGCATGCTGCACATTGTTCTTATATGGCTATCATTTCTTGATTATATTCACTGTTTACCTGAACACAAATTAAAGATACCTAATAGCGAAAATGTACCTGATCCTTGTGATCCTGGCAAATTTGTAAAGTCCATTGGTCACTTGAATTATGATGGTGGTGGACCTCTTAATTCGTTCGGTTCAGATTTCGAAAGCAAACGGGTAAACTATTTGGGGATTTTTGTTTATTCGTCTTAATTAACTTCAGTAGATTTCACTTTCTTTAAATATCATCTTTTTAGATTTTAATGATGTACATAGTAGTAGCTACAAAACTTTTCTGGATTACTTTTTGAAAGATTAGAATTTATTTGCTTTTAGGGTTAACAAGAATATAAATTTCTCAAACTGTCGAATAAGATTCCTTTCTTAGTAAGTGAATTTCAATCATAGAATATCGCCATATTTTTCCTAAGGAGTTGAAACGTCTAGTATAACTGTGAGTAGTCAAGTACAATTCTGTGTACTTCGCCTTAAGCCAGTATACAGTTTAGTCACAGAAATAATGATATTACATGGCTGAACAAACTGTAAGGTAGGCAAGTCAGTATTCGAGTGTTGTTACGGTTCTAACCACTAAAGTGACATCGTTGTAGAATTTGTCTCCAAAGTTTTATTTAATAATGTAAACTGGGTCACTTCCAACCAATTAATTGAAATAGCCATTATGCATAAACAGAATATTGTGACAATGGTATCGTATCTAACGATGAGGAGGACGAAAAGCGAATGTTCGGCTCGTGGGTACAGGGGATCTACCCGGGAGAGTTAGAAAACCCTGATTCCAAACCAATGGTGCACATGGGCTTTAGGATCCCGAAGAAGTAAATGACGTATGAACAAGTTGTTGATCAATGGCTTCCATGGGGCTGCTCCACCGCCTTGTGGGTTAGACCTCTAGGCCAAAAGCTCGGGGAGCAACGCCCTACTTCGGTTTTGACGCCTACACAATACCCCAGCTCTCACACAGATTGAATGGTGAAGTGTGGCGCATATATATTTGGTGTACCGATGTTTATGTGTTTAAATAAATAAAAAACTAAGTTGTTATTTCGTTCGTTACATATATTACGTGATTTTGATGGTAGTAAACCCCAAAACTAAGTTTAGAACTTACAGTACTTGGTTATTTGTTGATGACCAGTACCCAATCTGGTTTTTAGTGCGGATCGAATCAAATAAATTTAGTTAACTTGTCAAATTATTTCTCTTTCATGATTAAAATCCTTTATTGTATTCTACTATGTTTATAACGAAATACAATTAAAGTCTTGGAGTCTACTCTGTCCATTGGATAGTGACGGTGATGGATTTACTAATGGTCAAGAATTAGGTGATCCTAAATGCCAATGGAAAATAGGTGATCTACCTGAAAGAATATTCAATATTACTCATCCAGGTGTATGTACTCCTGTGGATTCAGAGGTTTGTAAGAGACAGATTATATGTAAAGTAAGTTGCTCTCTTAGTTCATAGGTGTTATGATGTTTTGTAACAACTATTCGTATGATTATAACTATATTCTTCACCATAGTTCACTATTTTCTTAATCTATATTGTATGCTAAACGTTTTTTGTTCTGCCTAAAAATTGTGTGTACTGACAAAATGAAATGACCCTTTTATGGCCCAATGTGAACAAATATATTGAACATATTTCTTTTGTACACACTGCTCAGGTTTCTGTGAGTTGGTGTCAGTTACTTCCACTATATGAATGAAGAACAGTTTAGTAGCTTCTGTTAAATTACTCGGAACGGAAAAAATTATATTCAATCTGGATATTATCCATTGTCAATTTTAGGGAAAAGGATTACATTATTTATGGACTTAGTGACCCCTTTTCGTAACCATGCCTGCACATCTTCGTAAGCACTCAAGGATCAAGGCATTTGAGTTACAACCTTTGTAATTAGCTCCATATAAGCAATTAAATTGATGAACAAGTTATAAGCTTCCACAGTCGAAAAGAAAACTCCGAACTTAAGTCTTGATTTTGAAAAAAATGTAGAGAATAAAATACTGACACGTAAACTCAGCATATCTATTGAAATAACTTATAATGCAACTAAATTGCATTTAACTGCGTCAGCGTAACTTGTGCGTAACTTGATGAAGCGAACCGAGGACGGGATACGAATGATGGTTTCATCCATGTATGTTCGTCAGTTTAACCACTTCCGTGAGGTTAATTACATAACCTATACTTGAAGGACCTGATCGTTGAGCGCTCGAAAAGAAAACCTCCTTAATACATGATTTCCATGGTAATATAATGAATGACATTTTAACACGTCGACTCAATAGATCCATTAAAACTATTGGAAACGACATGCGCTATTTCATATTTCACACATATGAATAATGAATTCAAGGTAAATTCAAAATTTCGTTTTTTTAGACAATTAGGCCAAATTTTACGCTTTCTGTTAAGAAGATTCTAATATTCAAATTTGCATTATCTCACGTTTTCCAACATATGTTGACTCCGATGGATAGATTACATCTACTAATACGAGTCATTTCAATAGTTAATAACTTAGTGAACTGATGTCACTCTTTATATTGGCTATACATAGCTTTCTTTCAACTTTTCCAAGTCCATGTATATGTAGCGTCGTTTAAACTGACTACTTATTAAGAATGATATTCTTCAATCACTAATTTATCGTCCCCATTAAAAACCAACACCGGAAGTGAATAGAACATACATTACGGAAATCACCAAACTGCATTACGAGGCAAGCACTTACTTGGAATCCTTAAGGGAAACAGAAAAGAGGAAGACCGAAGAACACACTATATCGGGAATTGGAAGAAGACATCAAAAGGATGAATATCATCTGGAATAGATTGGATGAAGAATGCTGGTGGGGCGATCTATGCTTCTAATACTACTCCATGAGAAGTAACAAACGTAAGTAAAATAATTAAAAACCAGGATATGCTGACATTTGTGTTTCATTTTTATTTAAGACACGTTTTTAGAATTAATAATTATAAGAATATATATAAAAACAATCATCTATCATTATTCTTGTGTTTACATTCTCAATATTATTATATCTATAAATGACACATTATCTATCATATTTAATTTATTCTTTTTAGACTAATATTCAAACACATTGTGGTTTTACTCAATTCTCAACTAGTTTATTAACTTTTATAACAATATTAATAGTATTATTAACAATATTGAAATTTATTAGTAATACCGAATTAAAATATCGTTATGAACATGATATATGGCCTACAACCTGTTGTCCATCATTACCATATGATAAACCTGGCTTTTCTTGGGATAATTAATTTCTTTTATAAGATAAAGAAGAAAAAAAAGAAGGTTCGTTTGTTTCTACGAGATTTTATTTTGATAAAAAGGCACATTGTGTATATGTGTGTATATGTTTATATAGCCTATATTATTATTATTATTATTATTATTATTATTATTATTATTATTTTGTAGTTTCAATACAATGATTTATTTCGTACCAACAAACTGTGATATTTTCTTTATAGGTCTCTTTTTTTTTGTTTTTATGAATTAATGAGCGAATTGTGTAGATTTGTAATGATTATTATCTTTGTTTCCTATATTATTATTCCTTTCGCTTTCCCAAGTAGTGTATACAATATTCTCTTTCTGGGCGGAAATTATATAAATCTTTGTTTTTTGGTTTTGTTCAGTTGTTTTTTTTCGTTGTTGTTGGTATTTTTCAGTTATGATGATAAAGGGTATTTGTAGGTCAGGATGAAGGGTGTCTAAGGCTGGATGTTTTAGTTGTGGACAACATTATTAGCACATAATTTAATAAGAATCAGGCTTGAACACTGTTCAAATGCCCTGGTACGGCTGAGAGTGAGGAGAGTCCGCTCTCCCTCTAGAAGTGCTCTCACATGGCCACGCGTATATGGCCTCTGCCAGGGAAGTCCTACTCATTGCCTTCTCATGGCGGGGGTGTTGTTTACGAAAAAGGGAGAACGAAAAGCGAATGTCCGGCGCTTTAACCGGTTTCTGAACCATTGTTACACATGGGCTGCAGTATCCTGCACGGACAAAGGGAGTATGGACTGATTGTTAGTCACCGGCTTCCATGGGACTGCATCTCCTCACGATGCTCCACTGCTTTGTGAATCATACCTTCAGGTCGAAGGCTCGGGGTGTTGCCCCCTAAGAAAACCATCTGCTTCGGTTTGGGCACCCGGGCAATATCCCAGCCCTCACATTAATCGAATGATTTATGTGGCGCATATCTGTTTGTTGCCTCCTTGTACCAGTGTTTACGTGTTTAAATAAATAAATAAATGAACACTGTTCATTTATTTACTTTTGAGCCATTGGGTATTACTAATAAATCCTCACACTTCGGGTGCAACTCAAAACCAAGTACACAAATCGGTATTTTGGCAAATGAACCTTTGATGCAAAATAAAAACTCTTTCGATAGGTTTTTCTGCAAAGTTTCAATAAGTCAGTCGTGTGTGTTTACATAGCATGATATGATAAGTTTTATTGTCTTGATCATTCTACTGTGTAAATCTTACGATAACAGTTACACATTATGTTCAGCTTAACGCTATGATACTATTGTTTTTATTGGTTCAGAATTGATCGCCTGGTTGCTTAATGTTCAACTTTAGCCGGCTGAATAAAAAAATTGAATGTTTCTTCATTTTTCTGTTAAATTTTGTTTAGTGAATAAATTGTAGAGTTAGTGTATAGCTACTCTCCATGATGTTTTATGTTATTTCAGTGACGGAAAACGTGTGTTATGATAATCTCAGCTTACTTGAGTATCACTGTAGATGATATCCACATAGAACTACATAATTATTTAGAGAATCATAAGATCGACCAGAAGTTGATCCCGTATCTCACAGACAAAATGTTCGGGCACTTGTAGCCAAATTATAATCTGGACTTGTATATATGATCTCACTTATCTCTTGATTTCAGCCTTGTTTTATTAGAAATTTTAGTATTGGTTCAGCGCTCATCATAGAACCTATTTTATGCTTTAGTTTTTCAACAATCTTTATTAATTACTAACCTATAAGCACTGAATGTCTACTTTCAAAATTGAGTACACATATCTGCACTTTATCATTAATTGACATTAATCAATTATATATGGTAGACGATATGCTCTTGTATGATGATATCGTCTCGGTAACAAACATATCGGCATGTAACGAGCATTAAAACTAGTCAAGAAATGTTCCATAAACATTTCATTGATAGTTGACATGATATAATACACCTACAATTATCTCAAGTATGTTAAGGTAAAATGGAGGGTATAAGTTAGTTTGATATTTTTACATACGTTCAAATATATATATATATATATATATATATATATATATATATATATATATCATAATTTTTAGAAAGACATTAGACAGTATGCTAAGCTTTGTGTTATTTAAAACAAAACTTCTGTATAATTTTATAAATGATATGAGGGTATTGACAAATTTAATTACATACTAACCGTGATATGAATAAAACAAATGCTTGTTCAATAAAATTAGTATATAAAAATGAAGATAATATGAATGGTGAGTGTTCAGTTACCATTTAATTTTTCATATTTATTGTAGTGCACCATTATGTTGAGTCACCTTAAACTAGTGTAATAATGATGCCAACTTCTTTAATAGAATTTGTTTACTATTAAAGGGTAGATAAACATTGTTTCAGTTACTACTTACTGGTTAAATAAATATAGATCAATTCGTTTTAGATGTAGATAACAATATTGAAATAAACTTTCTTCTAGTTAACAGAAATACCTTCAGTCGGTCAGTCAGTAACAACGTAGAACTTCGTACGTACATACATCAGTTCGAGTTGCCACACCACATTAGCACAGAGATGCAGTTGTCGATTCAAATCCCGTAGTGGTAGAGGTAATAAGAGTATAAGCAGTAATCGGGAAGATTAGGGTTTGGAGATGTTATTTAAAGAGTATAATCCAGTGAAATAAATTTGGGAAGAGAAAAAAAGAGAGACAAGGAGGAATAAGGAGATCAAAATTTGGGAGAACACAAAGAGTGTATGCACCTGTGCCATTGAAAACGATTTTGAGCCATGTCATTCAGGGTCTCTAACCATCGGTTACTATCATCTCGCGGTCCACAACCAGGTGGTCTACACCTACCAACATGACTCAGTCCACTTGTCAGTGACTTCATGGATTTGTGCCATGTTTTGGTCTGGCCGTCCCTAGCTTTCTTCCAACCTACCACAGAACATCGCACGTCGAGGCAGTCGGTGGTTGGGCATACGTAACACGTGTCCCAGCCATCTCAACTGATGAAGTTTCACTACTTCACCAATTGATTTGCCATCCTTACCTAGTACCCGTTTCCTAACAACTGTGTTAGAAATACCTCCAACTTGTTCAAGAGCGTATTCTTAATTTATAAATACTTGGAAGTTAGTTTTATGGAAGCTGAAAAAGAAGACATTGATAACTGGTTGTGGTTCGCATGCATAGTTCACTTATATTAATGAAAATCTACTTATTTATTTTCTAAAGTTGTGTATAATTTGTGACGACGTACCTGAAAGTTCATGTAAAATGTGAAAGATAATCAGAATGCATTCGTTGAACCATTACACAATTTGAAAATGTTACTAATACCTAACTTAACTATCAGATCAAAGTATTTTGATAATCAAAGATACAACATAGTACCTGACGAGGCTATGCATCAGTCTATGTTGAAATATTTCAAATTGATACAATGAGTGTAAATAACATCACTGATTTACCCTAGGTAACCATTGAGAAGCAGGAAGAATAGGATAATTGTTTCTTCCCTGTATAAAACTCTTCATTTGTACTCATTCACAACCTTATCTGTGACTGGTGGGATTAAACCATGTTGGGAATTTAACAAATGGCAATATGTAATAGTCATGGGACATTTTGAGTTGATTTAAGTTGGAAATGTATAACACTGGGTTCTAGTTCATTGGTCTGAAGGTTAAGCACTTTTCTTGGACGAAGTCGTGGAGGTACATTGCTGAGGATTCCTATACCAGGACAAGGTGGCTTCTTTTTTACAATGATCATCTAAATAAGGTCAATCCATGATGTAAAACCATAAAATACAGTCTCTACAGTTTCCTATGCATACAGAATATGCTTTTGATGTAAAGGGAGAAATAAAGGAGCAATGATACAAGCTATTTTTCGGGACGCTTTCCTTAATTCAAAGTCTGTAAAATACTAACACTTACTTTTGTCCTTGGTTTATCCTATGAATCATAAACTTTCGTTTAATGTGTAAATCATTGTCATACGTTTTTATTCCAAAATTTCTGTAATTTAAACGTAACTTTTGTACTCCATATTTTCTTCTCTAATGCCCTAGTTTAGACAAATGTATTTTTCTGATTCTTTATGCGTTTAAGTCGTGTTAGCCGTATATTTGTTCATGAGCCTTTTGGAGGTAATCTGAGTCACAAAGAAATCAAGTCAAGTTCCAGTTAATTCGTTTTCACTTCCCAACCTATCAGGTCATTGGTCAATGTAGGTTAATTATTTTTGTCATTCTCTCTGCCCTCAAGGCCATCTAGTCACAATCGAACTCAGACACTTACTAGCCTCAAGGTTGGGATATGCAGCCTATCGCACAACGCGCTAAACTCGGTCAGTACAATTCTCTCCTGTGTATTAATGGGTAGATAGATCAAGGACGTAATAACTTTGGCAACAAAAAGATTGTAGTTAAAAGACGAGAAGTGTGAAATAATGCTTGATGAATTATCTAAAGGAAGATTAAAGCTGCATACAACTAATGAGTTGCCACTATTTTCAGGCCATATCACATTAATCAAGACAGTTCTTTACGTTCACATCTTAAGTGTTGTATGCAATATTTTGACAGGGTACTTTTCATAGTGTGAAAGATTTAATAAACATGGATCAGTATACCAATGCAAACAAGAAATTAGTGAGCAAACCACTAAGTAAGGAGTTTATGGAATAAGAGTGTTGGAAATAAATTTCGAAAATTAATCCAACTGATATTAGGACAGTTAAATAAATGAAACCTGAAAAATAAGTGCGTACACAATTCAATTGTTCGTTGTAACAGTAATAACGATCAGCTATTGTGTGATCTGTAGTCTGTTGAATATATGGATCGTTTCAAGTTGCCATGCCACATTAGCACAACAAGATTAAATTATCAAGACAAATTTTGGAGTAGCAGAAGTATAAGCAGTATCATTAGTAACAAAAAAGATTAGGTTCGGGAAAAGCAGCACATAGTATGGAATGATGCAAATCTTGTTATAGGTAATCGATGGTGCACATGATTTTAAATTAAAAAAGACATATAGGGTAACCATTGTGGAAAATAAAATGATAGTTAATGCTAGTGTTTTTTATACATTACCGTTTGTGGTGACATGTTTGATTGAATGGTAAAACCTGTTAAACTCCAAAGTTAACATGCCTAGCTCGTTTTCATTGTCCTGATCCTCTTATCATTCTTTGTGTATTACTTTATACTACTTGCTAACAGTGAGTAACCGGTTCATTTCTAATAATTTATGGACGTACTTGACATTAATTTACCATGTAATATTCTGAAATATTTACATAAACTGGTAGCATTCACTTTATTTTTTGTTTTAATAATACTGTCTCAACCCTTGTCACAGTCG